TGAGGTGTGTATGACTGACCTCCTGTGGGTTGGCATTGAACGTCAAGCTGCCCTCGTCTAGTTGAAGGTAGAGTCTTCGGTATGAGAAGCCAGCAGGTAGTCTCTTATTGTAGATAGAGCAGTGTCCCCATGTGGACTTGCACAGCCTGATGGGATATTAAACAGCAGATTTAGAAAATACGAACTACAATGTTACAAAGTATTTTAATTAAGTAGAAAAGAAAGAGAAGCGGCGTACCCCTGCCACAGAAATTCATCATGTCCCAGGACTTGCCAGAAGCAGCCAGCCAGGCACAGATCAGTAGCATTCAGGTAGGAGAGGATGGTGATGCCTAGTTCAGGTGGAAGCATCTCCAGATCTATAAACCCATGCTGCTCTTTACCTACAACCCCCCCCCACCCCAGAAAACAGAGGGGAAAATAGAAAACATGTGTTTAGATCTAGGAAACTTTTCCCTGCTGCCAGTGTGTGGAAAATTCAAACTACCGTATTACCTGGGTTTTATTTCAATATGCTGAACACGGCTGCTCTTATAATACCTATAAATGCAGAAGCTTTTCTCTGTAATAGATTTTTAAACAGCAGAGAGCCCTTTGGGGAAATGTGGGCTTGGAACAAACACTTAGGAGGGTTTGATGGGGTTTTTAAGAGCCGTTTGTTTCACTGTGGAGCAGCAGGATAACTGTATGGATTCTTTTTATTGCTCTGTGTATATATGTGATTTTGTCAAAAGAAGGAGGAACGCAAACAGAATCATCTCATTAGTGTTTGCTTCTTTATTAATCCCAGCTCCAGTGAAGGGATGCCTGTACCAGCGAGAAACAATGTTAGCACTCCCCCTAGTGGCCACTGTGCCAAAAAACACTAGTGAAAGGCCGGCCCAAAAGAAAATGTTCTGGCTCTCTAGACTGTAGAAACAGAACCTTCAAGATTACAGATGTGTGCTTAAATATTATTTTATCAATCAGATCAGCAATTGTATCTGTAAAATATCAAATTAAATCAAAGTGGAAATATGTTTCATATTTATTTTCAAGTTCTCATCGCATCCAAAGACAGCTTTTTGTTCAAACTTCAGTGGTTTGTTTAAACACATGTTTGATCTTAATGTGGCCCAAAATGAAAATGAGTATAACTCCATGTCACAATTATTTGATGATCTAATCAGGATTAATCTGATTGGTCAGGACTGGGAATGTGAGCAGGATGTGATGATATGTTAAACTTTAAAGTCTTTTTCTTTATTTTCCACATTTAACATAGTCATGCTTTCGTTATGTTTTATTAATCCAAAAGACATAAAAATGACATCCTATGACTGTTTAACGTTCTTAGCATCAGTAATTGCTCATTTTGAGCTTTAGTGCTACAAACCCACATCACAGGCTTATTGTGGCTGGATTCTTTGACATGTTCCCTTTTTGGAAGTCTCCATAATATTTTCCCTCTACCCATCCCTTGTTTAATTCCTTTTCAAACAAGATCAAACAAAAAACACTAAAGAACTGCGAGTTCGCTGTATGACAGTGAAAACTTCCCAATGAGTTGATTTTTTTATTTTATTAGAATACATGATCGAGTCTGACATTACAAACAAAAGGTTTAAACATTATTTAGTAGAGTGTTTAAGAGAGACTCAGAGTAGGTAGAGCTTTCTACTTGACATTTATTCATACCTCTGCGTGTCTTCAGCAGATGATAGATGTCAGGGCTGTAACAGTACTGTGGTGCTCTTCTCTGGGAACCACCTCCATCTCTCCCTAAAAAGGAAATGAATAGATAAATAATGAAATGCCAAATCTAAATACTAAACGGCCTTTTTTACCCAAACTCTATAGCTATTAGTTTAATTCTATCTGGTTAAACTTTAAACTCACATGGAAAGTTGAAGAGATTGTTCATTTGTCTGCAAGTGACCAAACTGTGCACAAGCAGCGACAAGAGCAGCAAACAGTCCAATTCAATCTCACTAAACAACTGAGGCCAAGATAGAAGACAAAGATTGATTGTTCTCCATTGGCTTTCTTCAACTGAACGGTTTCAAACAAAATCAGAGCTCTGCCGTAAGAAATTAAATGGTTTTGATTCAATTTCATCTGTTTTGTTTCGAATACATTGTGTCTTTATATGAATATTTTCCCCACAGGTTGTACGTTAAATACCTGTGGTATAAGGAAAATGGTAGAAATACCTTGGTCTCGTCTGCCTCCTCCGCTCTCAGTCAGTTGGTCGGCCAGCTCTTCCTGAAGCTGCTGCTGTTGTCTGGGAGAAAGCCTCCACAGTGCCTGACCCATCTGCAAACAGCACAGATACACGTTAAGGTAAACAAAACAAACGTAACCGAGGGGATCACTCCAGACAACTGGTGGTAACTAATGAAAAAACTGAACATTACTGCCTTCTTCTTTGTCCCTCTGCAGTAGTTTACCACACATCACCAGCATTGTAAATTATCAGAGCGTTTAGATAAACTGGACTTATGTTACATTTTATTGGATCTTCCTTCAGATTTTGTTATGATAGTTCAGTTGTTTTTTTTATTGTGCAAAGTGTTAATATGTATATTCACCAGAAAGTTCAGATTAGCTACATTTAGATAAGGCAAGTGCCATATCATCAGCACATGCCACCGAGTCCAGCTAAAATCAATCTATCAAGCTAAAAACTGCAAAAGAGGGACAGACGTGTCTTGATATTTCAGCATCAGTTACCTCAAAATAAAAGCATGCAGCAATGCTTTGATTTACGTCAAAATAACTTCATGAGATAAAAATTGCTGCAAAGAGTATTGACCGTTACAGCTCTGCACATTATCAGGGTCTTCAAACTGTGAGGCTTCATGAACAAAGATGGAGATTCTATGGGACAGACAGTAGAAGAGGGTTACACAGTTCCTTTCTCTAAAGAATCATCCTTCCTTTGTTTGAGACATCTGGAAAAGGATTTCAGAAAGTGACTAGCACCCTTGTCTCGTCAGTGAAAAGTCAGATTAAAACCATCAAGACCAACTTCTTTCAACAATTTATTCAATATCTGATAATAATCTATGTATTTCCAAGCATGCAGGAGTTTGTTCCATGTGGCAAAAGCACTATCAAAACTGCTCAAAGACCATGATTTTAAATTTTGGAACAATTATCAGATCTTAACCCAATTAATAACATGTGAAAAGGTTTAAAAAGTAGTTCATATTACATTAAGCAATTATATTATTACGTTCAAACTTAAAGCAAAGTGCTTAGTTTACGAAGCATGGGAACATTTGCTATAAAATGTTATGAAGAAAAATCAACACTGGTAAAATTTTACTCTAAACATCTCCCTAACTATTAAATTGCGGTTTAGTATACCAGATGTACTACACAGTTAAGCTGACTTTATTTATACTGCCACCAGATTTAAAACTGTTTTAAAAAGCGGTGTCATTTTTAATGGCATGTCCAAATGCATGTATAATCTCATCATTAATCAGTCAAATCCTTTATTGTCGTTACAGTAATCAGATATTTTTCATTTTTGTTCACAGGCTTTTTCACGAGTCTCTTGGTTCACTCCAAATATTCTCAGTCGGCTTCTGCCCTCCATTAAAGATATTACGTACAAACAGAAGAAACATGATCAACATCTAATTTTGCAAGGAGTAAGAGGAATTGAGAAAAAAGAAAAAGAAAAACTAGCTCCAAAGGGAAATTAAACAAATAAATAAAATTGGGCTAACCTGTATACTGTGTTGAAACACTCTAAAAAATGTTCAAGCCACAAATTATCATGAGGCACTGCCATAGCTTTGGGTCATATTTGAGTAAGAATACTCCTCATGATTGTTCACTGGTTAAACAAGTTTGACAGTATTTGGGTCACTCGTGAAGAAAGCAGCACAGCGACAAAAAGCAGCCTCAGAACACGTAGACGTTTTTACTTTACAACCACGTACTAATATTTTATTAATATGAATAAATTTTGCGGGTTTCGTTTGCGACATCGGCAGAGTTGGTTGTCAACCCCTTCAATTTAGAATTAATTCCTTAATTATGTCAACAAAGGAGAGAGTAGTCCTGCTTTTTATTTTCCTGTATTCGGCACTTAATGAATAATATTCGTTGACAACGCGATCTATTTAAGTGTGGCAGCAAACGACGATGAGATGGCAGCTTTCTTAACACGCTGCCCTGTCCCGTTTTCCTTCTCGGTATCAGCTGTGTTGCATAAACAAATCCGCTGGACTGTTGTAAACATCAACGGTGGAACTTTCAGCAAGCAAGTTCGTATGACCTGTAGCCCCGCCTTCCCTTCACTGTCATTGGCCAAATATGTGACAGCAGTTGTTAAACAGGAATCTGATAGGTAGGTTTCGCTTTCCCTCAAAAGCTAACAGAAATCCCCATGCTAGCTTGCAAAGCTAGTTTAACTTGACAACAGAGAGCCATAATTTCTACTTTTTTCAGCAGTAGATTGTTACCGGACTCGTGTGTTGTTTGTTATACTAAATTACTGTTGCCTTACTTTATTATTTTGAGACAACCTCGTAAAAAAACTCCTGTTACCTACCTGAGTTTAGGGATTCCTTTGACAACCTGACCTGCACACTAGGACAAGTGAAAATGCTGATTTCATGCACTCAAATGTAGCCCGTAGTCATCTCCCGAACAAATCCCACCACACACAGATAATCCGCTCTGAATCAGAAACCTCCTTGCTTAGCGGGGTTCTTTGCTATTATCACAAAGCTATCATCTGTTTTCAGCCTCCTCCTCCTCTTCCTCCTCATACTGTCACTGCTGCCCCGCCCCTTCGTCCGCTGTCATCACAGAAGCAACGTTATCCGCAATGTTCGAAATAAATAATGTCTCTTATTTTTCTGGTTAAAAGCACAATATAAAGAGGGGGTATCAACACTACAACCGGGCATAAATAATTTGTTCTATATGAGTTTTAAAAAAACTCAGAAAGCAAGTCCGTGAAAGCTGCGTCATCGGTATCAAAACGTCGATTTGCGTAGGGTGTACGTAAGCGTGGAGCAGCCAATCCCGCGTCGTGCCGTTGAACACCCGGCAGAAACAAAAGTGCAAGAGGCAGAAATTTGTACTAGCTAGTAAAGTCGACATTTTACTAAGCGCACCAGCTAACTTGTTAATTATTGTCCGTTACAGTTCGGGATACGGTAAGTGGTTATTAATTTCTATGCAAAATCTTTTTTTTCTTTTATTGACGACGGCCAAGATTGATCAGTTAGTTCAATAATTGTTCAAAGCCTGTTCATCTGGATTTGACACTGCACACATTTCATCTGCTTTAGCTCCCGATGTAAACTCATTACATTCTAAAAAATAGTTATTTGTGCTTGGTGGAACCTTAATTTGATTTGTTAACGCCGAAAAGGGGCAATTTTAAGACTCTTAAATAGGATATGCTGGTGTTGTCTAACGTTGTCAGTCATAAATATTTCCCAAAACACTAAAAGTTGTAGCTAACTGCTGCACTTAGAGCATATATAGTGCCTGCTGTGTTATACATGAAAAAACTTTGTCTGTTTCCCGTAGGCTACAATGCTTTCTGCAGGAAATGTTCAGAGTTGCCTCAGGAAATTGGAAGCACTGCTGCGAGTGATTAAGTACCCATCAGATGTTGATTACAGTGGGTAAGCCTACCCAAGTTTCCCATTACAAAAATTATTGTAAGCCATGCAATATTTTTTCATTGAAACCTGAGTGTTCTTGCTCAAAATCATTATGCCTGGAAAAAAAAAATTTTAAGGATAATTTTTGCAATTACAGTTTTTGTTATTGTCAAAATCATGCCAAAACATCAAACATTGAGTTTTCTACAGTGCATTAAGTCAATGAGTAAATCTAATCAGCTGACATAACAGTTACATTTGTCCTTGTGTTGATGGTGTTTGTTTCTGCATCAGGCTTTCCAAAGGAGACCCCTCCTCTTTTCTGCCCATAGTGAGCTTCACCCTCACCACGTTCTCTCCACCTTTTGCTGAGCAGCTCGTGGCAGCTGGACTGGAACTGTCTGGCAAAACCGACCTCAGATTCACTGACACGCTTTATAAGGTAACACGGACCCATGTAGGGAGCAGAAAGAGAAAGCTGTTACATAACCATCAGATTAAGATCTGCTGACTAAAGCAAACACAAGCTTCTGCCTGCATTGGACAGTTTTTGCCTCAGATATTTTTTGTCTTGATAAAAGTTTGACACAAATTTATAGTGTCATTTTATTTAGTTCTACAAATTTATAGAGTCAAACACTTGTTTGCATGCTTTGCCTCCAGGTTCTTAGAGATATCTTCCACTATAAGCCCATACTGACCAAGGAGCAGTTCCTCCAGTGGGGGTTTTCTCAGAGGAAAATCTCTTTCATCTGTGACATCATTAATCTGGTTCTGCAGAGACACAAGCAGCTCCACAAGGTAACACACATTTAGAAGGAACAAATGAGAAACTGATCACTTGGGGACAGATTTAAATCCAGTCATTTAATAACAACTTAAAATTTTACAGTAACTCAGATTAAACTGATTCAGTACAGACATGACAGTTTTTCACAAAAACAAAAAAAATCAACATTTGTGCACTGGGTCATAATATGTAATTAAGATCAGCAGAACTAGCTGTGTTTTTGTTGATCAAGTAATTGCAAAATTTGACATTTTGTAAATAAAATTGCTAAATGTGGCAATTAAAAAAAACTCTTAAGTTTTTGCGGTAGGATGATTTTTTTCTTCTTTTTTTTTGGCTGTATCCGAATTGGTTTATTTTGAAGAATTGCGATTGGAAAAAAAGATGACTGGAAGTAGTTGGAGGATGATAGCACAGCCTGTTTTTAATGACTTAAAGTGAACAAACTTATTAACCTGGGATTTTATTTCTTTTTCAGTGGAAACACTGCAATTGTTTTTGACATTAGGATAATATTGACAGACACATTTGGAACTGAAATGCAGCTACTATGTAGCATTTAGAAGAAAGACACAGATGAAATGATATAAAGTTAAAATGCTACATTAGTCAGCTGCTCAACAAAAATATACACCTAGTGCTTCCAATAATTTTAACCGTGAGGAAATAAATGTATGGAAACTATACAGACAGTTCCGTATTATTATTTGAACAGTGTTTTTTTTTTTTTTTTTTTTGGCCCAAAGTGAGGTATCCTACTAAACACAATATCAGAAAGAAAAGTCATCTGACACTCACTGATGCAGATGCTGTAAGTCTAATGCTGAGATTTATTCCACCAGGACTTGATATGTTTTTATTTTTAACAAAGTTCCATTTTGTTTTAGGCGTCCAAAAATCCCTTTGTGGAAGATCACAGAAGAAATCCTTTCTATTTCGCTTATCCAGCCAAAAGAGACACTTTTTCTGCTGATAATGAAGGCTCTGCTTATCGCTCTGAAATATCCCCCTCTGGTTCATCTGAAATCCCAGCTCCAGATGAAGAGGAGTCAAAGGAGAGCTTTTTAAATGTAAGTGTAATGAAAAAGTAGATTAGTTTGTTCGTATTTATTGAATAATTTAATGTTGAGCACACTTTTTTTTATTAATTTCTTTCCATCTTTCAGTCATCGAAGGTAGAGGGAAGACTCTCGGCCCTGGAGAATAATATCGACACTCTTATGTCTGCGTTCAACAAGTTGAATATTCTGGAAAAACGACTTGAGGAACTTGAGCTCAAAAATGAAAATAAGGTTTATAAAATATTCAACTTTTTGAAATCTTAACTTTAAAATCTAATAACAGCATTTCCTCACCATCAATGGTTAAAACGTGTGATACTCTTTCATTTTCAGAATGATGAGGACGTTGTTATGGTACCCAAAGAAAGTTGGGAAAACCTGATGAGCAGAGTGGTGTTACTGGAAGCTAAACTGGAGCTAAGGGATACTCAGGTTGGACATCAAACTGGAACAATTTAATTCACTGATGTTGAGTCTGTCTGTAAAAGAGACAAAATGTAAGGTTGATTAGAAATATCCAAAACCATGTATTTTCACTGCATATGAATGCTTTTTTCCCCCTCTTTTCGTAGCTTAATGCTTCATCGCCAGCAGAGCCACTCACCTCCTCCCTTTCAGCTGTCGATTCCTCACAGGTGAGAACAATTTCTTACTCCTCAGTATCCATCAGGCAGTCATACTCGAATCAGCATGTTTCACACAGACAGGTGTGTATGTTTAGCAAGACAATTTGCAATTAGTTCATTGGAGGTCGGGCGCCCACACCAAGGAGGGGACCTCTTGAAATAAATAACATGTATATAGTTAAGCCCAAAATTACCCATACACCTGGCAGATTTTGATTTAAAGTTATATTTTTTTCATTCAACCAAGAAAATAGTTTCTGATAAGAAATGAGGCAGGCATCTCTAAAGTATCACATTTTTTTAAGCTTTTAAAAAATATTGGTTTTATTTCCAATTTTAATAAAAATTGGATAGATAAAATACATAGCCTTCTCTGAAATCGGTAGACAAAACTTTATGGATGTTAGAGCAATCTTTATCGTGCATCAGGGCAGATGTATGTGTATTTTTCCAAATTGCCACCAGGGGCGCTATTGGCACGATTTTATTTTTCTCATTTTGAGCTGTTACATTTTTATAAGACAGCTAATAACTTTTTTTTATATACATTGCATTTTGTGTGTATCATTAGTAGAAATTACACACTGACTTTATTTTGAGAAAAAAACCTGGTGCTGTTTTTCTTGTTTGTCCTTTTTTTATCCAGAAGGATCTAAAGGAAAGTCTGCAGAGGATTGCTAACATGTAAGTGTTCATTAGATGCCATTGAGTTCCCCATTCTGTTCAATTAGACATTAAAGCAATAAAAAGCATGTTTTATTTCTGTTTAATGTTATGTACAGGAGTTTAACATACCAAAGTTACTCTCTGTTTTGGATTATCTAATAGATCAGTTGTGTTTAAACACTCAGACCTTTTTTCTTTTATAGCCCTATTTTTTAATATTAGGGCTGTTAGGCTGGTGTTTTATTTTACCTTTTTTGTGCTTTTTTTAGGATGAAGGAAACTTCTAGTCTGCTGAAGAACAAGGAGTCCTGCAGCATCCTGCATCTAAATTCTGACAGCGGAGTCACGTCTTAGCTCTTAATGTTATAATAAATGGACACTTTTCTGTCTTTAAGTTTATTGATTATATATAAATGTATCCCCAATGATCACTTTTATCAATGCATTAAATTTACTACCATATAACCTTTTGACATTAAATGGTTGTGAATGTAATTTCTTACCACAATGTAGTGTTTATTCATTCTCTCCTGTATTATTGTCGATCAAAAAAAAACAAAAAACTGTCCCCACGTCTAAAACTGTCAACAATGGGCACATGACCATCACAATTGGACTCCAGAGTAATAAAAGTGGTCTGGTATGATAAATTGTTATAGATACACTTTGCAGCTCCCATGTTTCAACTACTGGGACTGAAAGGATTTCCTGCTAACATTTTTGCTATGAGATACCACAACAAGTCTTTGGGGATCTAGAGGAATCCATGCCTAGTTGGGATGTTTTACAAGCAAAAGCGAAATCAACACACTACTGGGCAGGAAGCCATCTTGTCCTGAGTCTAGTTTATGTAGGAACAAAAAGAATCTGGAAAACTTGCAGCAAAGACACAAGCTACCATTGTGGCATGACTGTCCTATAGTTAAAGATTGGAGTATTGTATCTGATCATTGCATTTCTAATAATTTAAGAAGATGATTCACTAAAAGCAAAGCAGAACCAAAGTTAAATTCCTTGTGTGCACAAAACACAAAAGTTACAGGTCTGATTTTGAATGGTGGTATAACTGTTACTAACCTTTAGGTTTTGTTAAAATTATTGTTAGAATTTTATTCAGTTGAACAACTTAGAACTGCTGCTTCTTAACTTCCTTCCTTTTTGGGAAATTATACATCGCACAAAGAGCTAAGACTGGTCTAAAATTATTTCGCTGTATTTGTAAATTGTATCCAACAGGTGGCGATAAAGAAGATGGGCGTGAATTATAAGATACGTTTTTACGCCCCTGAGCAGGTCTAACAAGGTAATCAAAAAATATGAAATAACACAAGACCCATTCCTTAAGTATCAGCAGTGAAGTCAGTCTGGTCTGCAATACCATATTTTTCGTCACATGTACAAATCAGGTTTTTTTAGTGAAAGGACAGAAGTTGTTGCTTCACCTGTCAGATTACGCATTGGGCTCTTTAACCCACGGTAAACGCGGGAATTTATTCCCCCTTCAGAGTAACAGGGTTCTGTTGTGTTTGTTTGCGCTGCTCAAACGTTGCTTCCTATTTTCGGTGCAACTATGGAAGAAAACAAGTTGCCGGACCTGTTGAATGGGTAAAACTTCGCTTATATTACAAATGACTAACATGTCCGAAGAGTCAGATAATAACTTGAATGTTTCATCGTATGCGGTTCGTTTTGTCTCGATCTCCAGCCTGAGAGTCCACGTCAGCATGTCTGTCACATGTATTAGACATAAAAGTAGAGGTATGGTCGTGTTAAATGTGTTTGTTACGTTAAGATGGACCTTGAACAATTGATATATTTAAATAAGTTTCATACCAGTCCTATATGACTTTTTGCTTGCTCATGCGCATTACCGTCCTCTTTGAGCGAAGGGATTTTTCCTCTCCACCTCAAAAATTTTGTTTGGTATTTTTCCTCAAGCAAAATTTTACTCAGTCTTATCCATCTCGCAACTTTAAAGTTTAACTTAAATAATTACGAGCTGTATATAAAAACTGACAATGATTAACACAATCACCAGGTTTTAATCCCAAAATCACGAGGCTTTAAATGTGAGTTTTCTGACCTGTAAATTCTGATTTCAGAGTAACAAATGAAATCTATTAAATTAAGTCTTCATCCTCCACATTTACTATGTCAACGATTACTCAGAAGTCAAAACAATAAATTCAGCTAATCAGAGACAAGGTTGTTTAAACTTTTCTCCATAATTCATTAAACTATATTCTGTCTTTGTGTGTCTACAGTGGCGCGACCCGGAAAAGGGATGACTACCTGGAGTGGCCAGAGTATTTCATGGCTGTGGCCTTTCTGTCAGCACAAAGGAGCAAAGACCCAAGCTCACAGGTGAATGTGAATGGACGGAATAAAGCTACTAAATACTTTGGCTAGGGGTTGACAGTTGCATTTTTATTAACTACTTAACATATTAAGATATTTTAACGATTTTTCGTGACAACATGGAGTATTTTCTGTAGAATTTGTGTCAAGTTGAACGTGGTTTTGTGTGTGTGTGTGTGTGGTAAATAACTGATGTTTTCGGACCCTCTTTCTGTCTTCCTGCAGGTGGGTGCATGCATAGTGAATCAGGAGAATAAGATTGTTGGCATTGGTTACAACGGCATGCCCAATGGTTGTGATGACGACCTGTTGCCCTGGTCGCGTTCTGCTGATGACCGCCTCAACACCAAATACCCTTATGGTAGGAACACATCGCCATATGCAGATCAATATTTTTCAGAGCAAAATTTGGAAAAATTTTGAATAAGGGTCCCTTTTTTTTCATGTTTTAACAAAACGCATCAAAACCTGACATGGAGATTCTACAGGTTTACTTAAATATTTTGGATTGTGCAATTGTAAAAAGAGTAAGTTGTGGATGCTCACTATATTGGGATTAATGTATATTGCTCATTGTTGTTTGTAATGTAATATAGTTAAAATGGATGTAAAGTAACCCGCCTCATATTGTGCTGAGTCTGTGGTCTGTTTGGTCCCACAGTGTGCCATGCAGAACTGAACGCCATCATGAACAAGAACAGCGCTGATGTGAAAGGATGCACAATGTATGTGGCTTTGTTCCCATGCAATGAGTGTGCTAAACTCATCATCCAAGCAGGTGATTGTTGGGACCACACAGCTAAAATAATCTCATTATTAGGACGCCTTATAAGAGCCTTTTATTGTTTTTACTTTTGGGGTTGTTTAAAGAGCAAATTTCACTTCATAGTGTCTGTTGATTGTAGGACTGCAACTAACGATTATTTTAATAATTGGTTATTAAAATAAATGGACTCCTTGCAGATTTTGTATTTCATATTTATACACTCTTGGAAATATATTAAAAATGCAAATCAACAAATGATTCAGTGCCTTTCTTAAATAAGAAAAATCTTATTACCTAAAATTTAATAACACAGCATTCCTTTAGTGAATTTGAACTGAATGAAGGTAAATCTGCCCCCTGATGAGCTGGGGGTAAAACATATTTTCGACAAAGGTGTTTTTGTCTTAAATTAGCAAAATGTGCTTACATTTTCTGCAGTTTTGGCTTAATTACTGCTCCAAAAATGTTGGTTTTCAGCAAATGATTTTTTTTCTTTAAGTCTGCATACTCCAGTTATGAATAATTGATTAATAAATTAGTTGATCATTTCAATAATCGAATAATCCGATTAATTATTTCAGCTCTAGTTGATTGCTGTAAAACCTTAAAGTGTTTTCAGACTAACGCTTCTTTCATATCTGCTGTATAACCTCTGATTGGTTCCTGTGGAAATCTGGCCACGTATCAGTCTGTCTTGTCTGTTTGGAAAATATTCTTTGAAATTTAGAACTTATAAACTAACAAAAACTCTTCAGCAGGGCAACAACTAAAATCTGCAAAGTTGCACCTCAGCTGTCTGCTGT